CCCCGGCACCGCGTCCTGCTCCGGAGGGATCCTCAGGACCCCTCCTGCCCCTGAGTGCCGCCCGCCCACGGGAGCCCCTCATCCCGGCCCCCGGGGAAAGCCGTGTCCCCTCTCCCATCCCACGTCCCTGAGCCCCTGCCCTAGCCACGTGTTCTGCTGTGGGTGCTCCCCCCACGCTGGTGCCCTGCAGTGGACGGTGCCCATGGGAGCTGATGAGGGACCCTTGGGGGCAGTGCCAGCCTCCGGGAGTTACCTGCTTGCCCAGCCTAAGGATTCACCCCTCAGGATGTGCCCAGGGTGGATCTTGGGGACCCCTCCTTGGCCTCTGGGCAGTGCAGCCCCTGTGTAACCCAAGGAGCGGCTGTCCTGGCCCAGAGCTGCCCTTTCTGCCCCCGTGCCCGTTCCCAGCTCTCTGCTCTGGCCGCAGGCGTCGCCAGGATCCTGGCACACGAGGCTGGTGTGACGGACATCGTGGTGCTGCAGGTAAGGCCATGCCCTCCCCTGCCTGCTACTGCTGTGGCAGGGCCTGGCCTGGACCCTCTGGCCCCCTTGACCCTCCCTGGCCCCAGGCCGCCCTCCTGCATGACACAGTGGAGGACACAGACACCACGCTGTCCGAGATCGAGGAGCGGTTCGGGGTGGATGTGAGGCGCGTGGTGGAGGAGGTGACAGACGACAAGATGCTGCCCAAGATGGAGCGCAAGCGGCTGCAAGTGGAGCGGGCGCCCGGCTGCAGCCCCCGTGCCAAGCTGGTCCAGCTGGCAGACAAGCTGTACAACCTGCGGGACCTGAACCGCTGCACCCCCCAAGGTACCATGGCAGGGCCTGGCCATGCCCAGGGCAGCTCCTCTGCCTGGGGCAGGGCTGGTCCTGCGCCCTGCACAGAAGGACAGACCTGCCGAGGTCACCCCGGACCTGGGGTGGCTCCAGCCAGGGGCAGTGTGGGGAGCATCTGTCCTGTTGTGTGCCGGTGTCCCGGTGTGGGTGTGTGTGTAGTGATGTCTCAGTCTGTCCCGGGGTGTGTGTGGTGGTCATAGGATCACAGAATCAGCCGGGTTGGAAAGGACCTCTGAGATCAAGTCCAACCCTTGATCCACTACTGCCGTGGTTACTAGACCATGGCACTAAGTGCCACATCCAGTCTCATCCTAAAAACCTCCAGGGATGGAGAATCCACTACTTCCCTGGGCAGCCCATTCCAATGGCTGAGCACCCTCTCCGTAAAGAGTTTCTTCCTAATATCTAACCTAAACCTCCCCTGGCAGAGCTTAAGACCATGCCCTCTTGTCTTACTGATAGCTGCCTGGGAGAAGAGACCAACCCCCACCTGGCTACAACCTCCTTTCAGGGTGTTGTAAAGAATGATGAGGTCTCCCCCGAGCCTCCTCTTCTCCAGGCTGAACAGCCCCAGCTCCCTCAGCCTCTCCTCACAGCACTCGTGCTCCAGTCCCTTCCCCAGGCTTGTTGCTCTTCTCTGGACCTGCTCCAGCACCTCAATATCCTTCCTGAACTGAGGGGCCCAGAACTGGACACAGCACTCAAGGTGTGGCCTCAGCACTGAGTCCAGGGGAAGAATCACTTCCCTGGACCTGTTGGCCACCCTGTCCCTGATACAGGCCAGGATGCCATTGGCCTTCTGGCCACCTGGGCACACTGCTGGCTCAATGTCTTGCTCTGTCCTAGTGTGTGTGTGGTGATGTCTCAGTATGTCCCTGTGTGTGTGTGGTGATGTCTCGGTTTGTCCCGATGTGTCTGTGGGGTGGTGATGTCTGGGTCTGTCCCGGTACCGAGGTCAGGGCCGGGGCGGCTCCAGCCGGAAGTGACGTCGTGTTTCCGCAGGGTGGTCGGCGGAGCGCGTGCAGGAGTACTTCCGGTGGGCGGCGCTCGTGGTGTCCGGGCTGCGCGGGACCAGCGCGCCCCTGGAGGGGGCGCTGCAGCGCCTGTTCGAGGAGCGCGGCGTGACCACGCGACTGCGGGGCGGCCAATAAACGTGCGTGCAGCTCAGCGTCCTGC